TCAACAGGTTCTGGATTTCTCAGCTGTTTGCAGAGCAATTTGGTCTTCTTTGTAACCAGTGTCAATAAGGAAGTTCTTAACACTGAATTTCAGAAATCATCATTGACATCTTTCAGTCTCTCCATATATCAATTATTTACTCCTTGGGTTATTCCTGCAATCCCTGCATGGGATTTTTGCTTTTGTTAAGTATAATGTCACATTTTCCCATTCAAAATGTAATTTTCTTATAGGCAATCAAAAGTCTCAATCTTAAGATTATAAAAATTGAAGCTATAGTCTGACTCATTACAATGAGAGGGCAAGAAAAGGAAATAGAAAATTGGCCTTCTGTTTCTTACACCAGAATTTTCATAGATTCAGAAAACCTTTTTACTGGTTTGCTAGAAGCAAAGATCAGACTTTTACCCCTCCAAATATCCATGCCTTTAGATAACATGAATCATCAAAAATATTTGGAAGAATTGGCCTTGCAACCTAAATCTCACTTTCGTAACCCTTTGTAGATGGATTGGTTTGAAGTGATCCCCCGTTCCTAGTGTTCACTCTTAGGTTTACTGAGGACAAGGTGTGTTAGTTGTATTCTTTAAAGATAGCGACATCTATAAAGATAGCTATATGTAATAGGAATTACATAGGGTAGGGATTCACCTTTCTTGAGATGCTGGAATCTTTTTTTTTTTTTTATACATACAGAACTGGGGTGCAGGCCAGAGGTGCAGAGGCAGTGATAGGATTCACTAGAGACAGAGTGGGGAGCAGGACAGGCAGATCGACAAAGTACACTGCTGAGGGGAGCAGCGGGCGGGTCAGGAGGGGTCTGCCGTGCTATGTGGATTCCTCCAGGGCGGGGAATCGAACTTGCACTGAAGAGGCTGTGGCTTGCTGGCAGTGCTGCGTCCTAATCCGTTGCACCACTAGAGAGGGCTCAAGATGCTGAAATCTTAAGAAATGTTTCTATTCACATGATTTTACAACATAAAAATACATGCTCAGGAAAAAAGAGTAGAAATTACTTAATTCAAGAACCTCACCCAAGGTCATTATCAAAATAGCAGTTGTTGGAAGTACAGGCAACACTTAGCTCTAATTCTGGTGAGAATTTGGAGGAAAAATGGTACATCATAATTCTTAGAACCTTTGTTAATTATAAAGTAAGTGAATTAATAAAAAAAGCATGATAGGTCATTAAAAATGAACTCTTAACACTCAATTTTAACTGTACTTTAATACATGGCAGCTTAAATAAGGATCTTTGATTTTCCTAAGTTACCTTCTAAGGTAAGAAAGAAACAAGTAACTTTTGAAAAGCTCTAGTTGTGGGAACAGAGAATTAAAAGTTCTCTTGTTGAAAATTAGAAGCAGATTATATATGCCCTTTACCGAATTTCCAGCCATCTAGCTTTGTAATTCTGATGACCAAATATATACAACATGTACTTAATGATAACAATGTATTTTGATTAGGCAAGTAGTATGTGAGTTCGAGACCTTATTTTTTAATAATTCAGAGGTTGTGCTTACTGTTTAACTATTTGTAAACCATTCATATGTGATGTCATTAACCACAAGGTCATATATTTTTGGTGCCAGGAGTGTGGGGGTGTGTTTATACTGACATGGATCTTGAAAGATGTATAAATGAATTTTTCAAAAGGCAGGTAGGAATAGATGAAAGAAAGATGTGCTACTGAAAGGAATAACGCAGCACAAAGGTCTACTCGCCTTCTGAGACCAGTAAATAAAATATATTTGAAATATCTGAGGATCCTGCCAGATGAAAAATATTGAATACATTTTCAAGTTTTTTTCTTTTTATTTAAAGGTCAGATTGAGGTTTATAAAAACACACCCTGGTAGAATGGGAAGAATCAATCAATCTTGTGGAAGCTGTGTCTCTAGGACCAAAGCATCGAGCCCTGACTGAATGACAAACTCCCACACTTCCTCCCTCAATGAATATTTTACTCAAAAATTGGAATCATGCAGATAAGACTGAACTGGTAAATTCCATAGGATTGAAACATAATAAAATGGAAGAAGAGATACTGTCCCAGAAAACATTTTAGATATTGAAACATCCACATAGATGGACTATTGTTTTTAACTAATGGCCCTCTTGACAGTATTACAGTATGGACATAAATAAACAGTAATAGAATAAAGAGAAGGGATTGACTAGGGGTGTTTTTGCATCAATTCCATCGCTTTGTTCTGTCCCTCCCTGCTGGCCCCATGGAAACAGGGATGAGGAGGGATGTCAAAGGCAAGGTCATGACTAATTCAAGCCTCAGAAGACCCTGTACGTGTTTAACAGCAACTTTAGGACATCTTTTCTATGGGCTACATTTATTGAACAATTTCTTTGGTATAGTGGCTGAGAAACTGCACTTGAAATCAAGAGAACAGAATTTGTCTCATCAGAAGGAAGATGAAGACAAGCAATTGAATCCCTCTAAGCCTGCTTTCCTTACCTAGAAAATATGTAAGGTGCTATCCTGATGCTTTCTTCTACAGATGCTTACTCTTCAGTATAAAATGACCGTCTGCAATGTCCTGGGCCTTGGCAGCCAGAAGAATGCCTTTGTCAACATAATAATGACTGTTGTTTTTTTTTTTTTAATAGAGTATCACTTCATTTGATTCATTTGCTATTCCTGAAAATTGAGTTAGTCAATGAAGATTATTCTTCTCTGTTTCCAGGTGCATTTATCTCACCTATCAGAGCAAATTACAGTAAAAGGCACAAATCCACAAATTCATCCTCTTGAAATTGTGCACCACAGGAAGGAAATCCCTCAGTGTAATGATGGCCCACAGATCTGGCACCACCTCTCCTCCACCAACCCCACCAGCTCAGCCTTTACCTCCTAAACCTGCACCTTCTAGTCTGTGTCCTCACCTCCTACCAATTATGTGCAGCTTAAAATCCACAACTCCACAACTCTCTTCCTCTCAGGGTGTTCTTCATCTCTGCTTCCCTTTTGAAGGTTTTCCCAAGGGGCTCCATTCTGAGTCCCCCCTACTACATGACTTAAGGAATACTGATACAGTCAGAGGTGTTCAGATTACTCACCCTTACCCCAGCTTCCCTAACATTGTGAAGTGACTTTTCTTTTCATAATTAACTGAGCATGAGTGATTCTTTGCCCCTTGTAAAGAAAGAAAGCATTTTCCTAGAACTACTTGTAGCTATTACCCTGCTTCAATCTGCATTAAGATTTTCTGCCTACTTCAATGCACATATTTTTGGGAAGATGATGAATGAAGAATTGCTATAGACCTAGTTTCTAGAGCTGTCTGGCTATGTGGCTTTAGATCCTGAATATAACTGTGATTAAAGAAAGAGTTCTAGGTCATATCCTTGTCTCACCAGTTATGATATAAAGACCAGGGTAAAAAAATCTGCTATTAGGATGTAGAAATGCTATAGGGACCTCATGAACATGCTAGAAGAAAGTCTTTTAAATATCAGGATAGAAACTTAATTTTTGCTACCCAAGCAATTCTTTAGATTCACATGAAACTTAGTTCAGTAGTCACATGTATCATATTATTTTAATGGTAGATAAACTGGCCTAAGTATAAATTCATCACATGCAGAGGACCATGAATGACCATAAAAAGGTACATGGTGGAGAAACCAACGAAAGAATAATTGCCATAAAATTATATAAAGCAAGTCAATATGGCCTGATGTGATTCATCTTCATGTTTTAATATATTTGTACACCAAAGACATTTTGTCCAACATGAGACAATTCTGATGGGTCCCCTCAGTCTTATCTGTGTGGTCAGATAGCTTCCAAGGCTGTATCAAAGCTGCACTTGTTCCTCTGCTCAGTTGACTCAGGGAAACTAGAGCTGACCCCAGTATTTGCCACTGTTTTTTCACCTGCTATACCCATCTGTGTTGCTTAGAAATCTATGCATAGGTTTCTCTGAAGTTTTCTTTATTTTGAAGATTGTCACTATTAACAAGAACGTCCACAATGAGATACCATCTCACAGCTGTGAGAATGACCCATATTAGAAAGACCAGAAACAATGTGTGTGAGAGTGTAGAGAAAAAGGTCCCCTCATACACGGTCAGTGGGAATGTAGGCTGGGCCAGCCCTTGTGAAAAACAGTATGGAGGTTTCTCAAAGTATTAAAAATAGACCTTCCAGCAATTCCACTCTTACTCTCGGGCGCCTACTCAAAGTATGCAAAAACATTAATTCAAAGACAGGTTTGCACTCTTACGGTCACTGAAGCACTATTTACAACAGCTAAGTTGTGACACAAGCTGTGTCCAAGCACGTGCATGGAATGGATAGGATAATGTTAACTGAAATGAGTCAGCAGGGGAAAGTCAAAGACAGGATGGTTGCACTTCTATGTGAGATGGAGGGGAAATAATGGATCAGATTACACCAAAGCAGTAGCAAATCCCAGAATCTGACTGTAGATTTGAGGCTACAGGACAGGGGGAGGGTGGAGAGGAGGGTGTGCAGGAGGACCGTGGACTAAAGAGAAAGACTATGGTGCTCTGTGGAAGATGGGGTACGGTGATATTCATTCGACGGGCATGATCCTCTACCTCTCAATCACATACAATGTGATTAACTATTGTTACCTCAAAACATTTTTTCACTTAAAAATAAAACAAAGAACATCCAAGATCACTGTTGAGACATGAAACAAAGAACCTCCAAGATAGCTGTTGGGGATTTTTCCACAAATTTTACCATCAAGATTTGGAGTTTATTCTGATTGCAGTAATTATCCTGATTAGTGAAATTACTTCATTTTAGAGCCTTGGTCTGAGAGCCTGCTGAAGTAGCTATGAAAATCTGAACAAAAACATGTTTTCATTTTTCATTTGCTCTAGGAAATGAGATTGCATGAAAGATGGGTCATAACAATGACTATCCATAAAGAAGAAAACAAAGCAAATATTAGTGAAGTAGAGAGATGATGCAGCCGAAGGAGCTCAGACACTTACCCAGCGTCAGGAAGCCCATTTGGTGGTGAGTGAATGGGAATGCAGCTGCTTTACCAGCATACTGCACAACAGATCCCTCAGGCCAGTCTGTACCATCTTGCCACCAAAGCAGTCCACAAACCTTGAATGCGACAGACGTGAGTTTAGCCGTTAGCTCTTTACTTGAGTTTACCTCCATCCTTCAAATCTCCTTCTCAATCCATCCCCAGGAATACTTTAATTGTAAGGCTTTTGCTATTTTCAAAAAATTAAGTTTATAGAGTTACAGGAAATAGAGACTGAGTTTATTTTATAAATTAGTTAGATGCATGAAATTTTCTGCAGTTTCTATCCTGTCTCCAAGGCACAGTTCAAATACTGAATAATTCCTGTGATTTTTTTTTTGTAGGTCTATTTATTTATGCATACAGAACTGGGGCACAGGCCAGAGGTGCAGGGGTGGTGAGAGGATTCACCAGAGACAGAGTGGGGAGCAGAACAGGTAGATCGGCAAAGTAGACTGCTGAGGGGAGCAGCGGGCAGGTCAGGAGAGGTCTACTGCACCATGTAGGCCAACTCCTGGCTGGGAATTGAACTCATGCTGAAGCGGCTGCAGCTAGGTTAACTTCTCAGTGTTGTGCTTTAACCCATTGCACCCCCAGCAAAGGCCCAATTCTTGCGATTCTTAACCTAACATCCCTAGTGAATTATTCTTTTCCCATAAGTTCATAATTTTTATTAAATATTCTTAATTATTTATCTACTTTTTTTAGTGCATGTGATTTTTCTTTCTTTCTTATTTTTTTTTCTTTTGCCATTTTTGTGATTAGTTTAAAATGGGATTTTTTTTTCCTTCACAGGAGTACATTTTATTGTAATTCTGGTGTGTTTTATTTTTCATCAGTCATCACTCTCAAGTTGAACCCCTCTATCCACTCTTCCCATCCAGTCCTCTCTTTCCCCCTTAGTAACCACTATATTTTTCATAGATTCCAGGAGTTATTCTTGTTGTGATTTGTTTTGGTTATTTATATGCCACATATGAGAAACCATCTGGTAAGTGTCCTTCACTTTCTGACTTATTTTGCTTAGCATAGTCACCCTGACAGAAGTTTGGATAAAGAAGGTGTGGTATCTATACTCAATGCAGCCTACTCAAGCTATTCATAAAGATGGAATCTCATCTTTTGTGACAACGTGACTGGATCCTGCGGAAGCATTTTCAATAAGAACAAATCTCTTGATCTCCGTGCTTCCATTAAAGTTCACCAAACAGTTGACCGTGACTGATTCAAAAATGATAAAAGACTCATCATTCCCCTACTGTTCTTGGAAATCACAAGAACATCACAAAAATGTGAAACAAAAATACACATTTCAGAAGAAACCTGGCACTACAAAGTAAACATAGATGAGAATTAACGATGACTGTGTGGGGAGGGAAGCAGAGATGGTGTTCCAATCTCAGGAAATGGTGGCCTCTTAATACCTGTTGGAGAGGAATATGTCTGGCCAAACCCAAGTGTGTAACAGCAGACCTGACCATGGGCCCTGCGGCAAGGGGACTTTCTCTTCATAAAAGGTGCGTGTTTGCTAGAAGCTAACGCCTTCAAGTGAGGGAGGGTGAGGTTTTGCATGCATGGCCCCACAGCTTAAAGAGTTTCCTGCAAGGCTGTCACTTGGTCCAGGTCTCTCCAACCCCAGTCTCCTGCTGGTCCTTGCTTCTTTTATACCCAGCCGCCCCTAAAGTATCAAATAGCTTTATTTTTATTTCTGACTTTTGTCTTTCTCTGCAGCTTATCATACCAAGACTGCTTAATTATTCAATTCCTTTCAGGATGCCACTGGAAAGAATTTTTGCTGTCACATACTGCTGCTTACCTTGATCTAACTTGACTTTTAATTTTTACTCAACCACAGCAATATCTGACTTTAAAAATCGTCTTAATCTCAACCAAAAACTGATCAATCCTCTGAAAAACAATTCACTGAGAACTTAATTGCTGAAAGATTAGTTTGCTAAATGACAGTTCTCTGAATATACAAAAACAATTTTAAAAGGTTTTTATAAAAGAAAAGATTTCCTAAGAATATACAATGAGTGAGTATATATTCTTATGAATGTGTTAATGAACATATGCTTCTTGGATCTATTCAATAAAAATATTACAGGAATAATATTTTAATGTAGCCAAGTTGTAAGGAATAACTAATTTGTCAACAGTTGAGGATTGTTTCTCTTCTTAAGAATATACTTTTTTAAATATGCTCATCATTATACTTTGTCAGCTTTATTGAGGTTTAACTGGCAAGTAAAATGACAAGGTAGTTAAAGGGTACGTTGTATTGATTTGATATACAGATACATCATAAAAGGATTCTCTCCACTGAGTTAATTAATGCCCATCACCTCATCTACATACCTTTTTATTTTGGTGAGAATATTTACATTCCACTCTCAACAAATTTCCATTATACAATGTAGCGTTATTGATTATAGTCACCATATTTTACCTTAGCTGTGCACACCTTATTTATCTTACAAATTAAAATTGTACACTTTTACTAACCTCTCCCTATTTCCCCACCCCTAAGATCTTGGCAATAGATTTTCTACCCACTGTTCTATGAATTTAATGTTCTTACTTTTTTCAAAAAAAAAAAATTCAAGATACAGGATACCATGCAGTATTTGTTTTCTTCTGGTTTACTTCACTTATCATAATGGCCTCACATTTCATTCATATTGTTTCAAATGGCAGGATTTTCTTCTTTCACATGGCTGCTTAATATGCTACCATGTGTATATACATATAACATATATAGAGAGGGAAATATTCTGTTGTATATATATATATATATATAATATATACAGTCATATGCCATTGAACTAAAATTGTATAGACATGTACATATGCTACATATATCTTTGTTATCCATTCACCCATGAATGGACACTTTGCTCCATATCTTTGCTATTGTGAATAATGCTGCAATGGGCATGAAAATAGAGATATCTCTTTAATAGCCTGCTTTCCTTCCCTTTGGATTTAGACCCAGAAGTGGGATTGCTGGATCATATGATAGTTCTATTTTTAAGTTTTTTTAGGAACTTCCATACTTTTTTTCCCCCAACATTCATTTGAATATGTTAAACACATTATTCTTATGAATCTCAATTTTCAGTGTTTATTTTGAATGTTTAAGTTTCAACTTTTTTTTTTTTTAAAGATTTATTTATTTATTCATACAGAACTGGGGTACAGGCCAGAGGCTCAGGGGTGGTGAGAGGCTTCACCAGAGACAGAGTGGGGAGCAGAACAGGCAGATTGACGAAGTACACTGCTGAGGGAAGCAGCGGGCGGGCCAGGAGAGGTCTGGCTCGCCATGTGGTCTCCTCCGGGGCAGGCGGCAGGCGGGAATCGAACTCATGCGGAAGTGGCCTCAGATTCTTAGTGCTGCGCTTTACCCCGCTGCGCCACCAGGGAGGGCCCTAAGTTTCAACTTTTTTAAAAAAAGATTTGTTTATTTATGCCCGCAAGAACTGTGTAAGAGGCAAGAGGTGTAGGGTGGAGGGAAGATGAGTGATTTCAACAGACAGAATGGGGAACAGAAAAGGCAGATCTACAGAAGTAACACTGCTGAGTGGATGGGACTCTACACCCTATTCCAGTGATTGAAAACTACAAATCCCAGCAGTACCAGGGAGGTAACTGTGAGGACCCAAGGGCGGGGCTAGCAGGAATGGATTCTGGGACATTTTGGGGGGATCAATAGGGCACTATTGCGTCTCACAGGCTCTGGCTCTGGCTCTGGCTGGATCTCCTGCTCTCTCGGTCTCTCGCTGGCTCACTTGGGAAGCAACTCTCCAGGCCACGTGACTTGGTATGTTCAGTCAGTCTAGCCATAAGGTATTCCACTTACTTTGTATCCTGCTCTCTTTCCCTGTGTTGTTTCCTATTCCTTTCCCCTTTTGTAAATAAACCCTTTTGTGTGTATCTGCAGTTGTGAGTGCGCTAGTGAGGTCCCACAGACAAGGCGGCCCAGTCCACTCTGGGCTACCCTGTAACAGTAAGAGAGAGGAAAGCAGAACTCCTGTTGGATGTGGTACCCTGGTGTGTATTGTAAACTTGGCAAGAATCTTTTGAGTGGATAGTGGGAAAGAAACCCAATTGGTGTGGGTCCATGAGAGACAGGCAGTGAGAAAGGGGAGACAGAGTGTATATAAATCTTCAGGAAGTTTGATTATGGAGGACTAAAACTGAATGAAGCCGAGAAAATGTGGTTTGATTTTAAATACTATGGTAGTTTAAATAACATTTTTTTTTTTTTTTTTTGGAGATAAGAGAATGTGCAATGCATTTGCATCGCTACTTGATACATTCTAGCTTTGATGCTGATCTATGGCTCAGAGCAAAAATGGCAGCGGAAGTTGAGTGTGAGAGGCTGCATGGAACTCAGTACCTTTCCCAACACTACAGCTAGGGCAATTTAAGGTGGATATGAAGGGAAACAATGGCACTCAACTCAAAAAAATGGAAACCTGTAGTGGGAGGAATCAGGAGCACCACCTGAGACTGGTGGGACCTAAGAGTTGTTCTATCATCAAAAGAAATATTTCAGTTTTCCTCTGTCTGAAACCATGAAATAGGCATCTCAATAGACACAAATGCCTGGGTTTAAACATTGAGAAGATGAAACTAGTTGCATTTGACATGATAAGAAAGACCTTAATGGCCTTTTTATCTTTAATACACACATTTAGAAATTTCAAAATCTGCCAGAAGAGGAAAGTGTTATGGTTTTAAATATCTCAATGAAAAGCTATCCTGTACCAAGAAAGTATGACTTTAATATATTCTCTACCATGATGACTGCATTTAATACACTATGCTACCTAATTCTGAATCTTAGCACATAATCAAATTCAATGTCTTTCTTCCAATTCTTGGAAGATTTTTGTCTTGGGGTAACCCCTGGGTATAGGTACTAGAGATATGGAGTTGTGGAAAGAATTAATATCTATTCCCTCCTTACTTCATTTAGTTTCTTTCAGAGGCAGACAGCCTTTCTCCCAACACATCATATAATACCCCTTATCCAGCCTCCCAGGAATAAAATCCAGGTTTCTTATTGCTGAAA